ATAACAATGTAATTTGATCACTATCATTCCTCAGTATTACCTCTTATTCCTGATTTCTTTTAAATAGATTATTGGACTTCCTGGATATGTTCTCATTTCCAAATGATTAAACATTTAGAGTATTTCGGTTAATGTCAAATATAAGACTATTCTTGGAGTTTTCAGGGAATCATCTGAAGACGCTAACACTATACTCGTTTATTCTACTAATGCATAAATTATCATTATCTACTCTTATGCTAATGAAATGACCTACACATTTTGTTACCATTTGTCAATTGTTTAAACTGAGGAAGCTAAAAAATCTTGCAAGAGCGGCATGATATGAATCAAAGTGCATGAACTGGACCCATTTGGAACCCAGAAATCAGGATACGAGTTCTGCCATTTACTAGTTCTTTAGCCTCAGCAAGTTATCTAAATTCATTGAACCTCAATGTGCAATGAATACAGTGTGCTTGTTACTTGCCTTATGTCTCTGACTGACTACCAAAAAAACGATTGGTCAAAATAAAAAAACAACCATGGAAAGACTTCAAAAAGTTCATTAAAACCTGGAGAAATGAAGGTGAGTTCCACAGTGTTTTCCTCTTTTGTCTTATGGTGTTAACCGGAAGGTGGGTCTTAGTCACATGGCAGTGGCTTGAGATGTTGCCTTTTTAGGCAAGGAAAATCCCCAAATTTCTGGGAACCCCTGGAAAAGGGCCCCTTATGGAGAAAATCTCCATTTTTCTCTTTTTTATTCCTGTCTCTCCCAAGGAAGCCWCCGTGGAGAACTATATGTTCAGTGTAGGTAGCCAAGACTCCAACAGAAACCAGGTCTTTCTTGCTAGAGGATTTGGAAAAGAAGTTCCCATGGGCCAATGAATGTGCGGAGGGATCCTAGAGAGGGTGAGTTGACAGGGATCCCCCAATTCAAAGCTATTTTAGTCCCAGGCTCTTGCCCCCCACAGCACATGAACAGTTTTAGACTCTGGACAGATCCAAGAGTTCAGTAGAGTCTTTGAAAATTGAGCTGAAAACATTGAAACCAGCAGCCACCGAAGAGATAGAATTTGTGGTCTGAACCTAACCAGTCTGATTGCATACGTCAGAAAAAAAAATTAACATTTTTCCAGAGGATTTGAACAGGATCCCAAATGTAAACAACATGAAATTCAAAAATTTCGGGTTATACTCTAAAATTATACTCAACATACAAAACACCTAGAAAATATGATCAACTCTCAAGAGAAAAGAATTTTTTAAAAGAGAAAAGATAATTTGATGGAATTATAACACAGACTTTAAAACTGTATTCCATGAGATCACAGTACACACACTTGAAATAAACAGAAAGACTGAAATTTTCTAGCCGAGAAATAAAATCTTCAAAAAGAACCAAATGTAAATTTTGGAACTGAAAAAACAAAATATCTGTAACAAAAAAAAAATAAGTTGGTGGGCTCAATAGCTGAAGGAAGATGGCAGAGGAAAGAGTGAACTTGAAGATTGGTCATCAGAAGTTACCCAATTTGATGAACAGAAAAAAAAAAAAAAAACAGAAGAAATGAACAGAATTTCAGGAGCATGTGGAACCAAATCTAAAGGTCTAACATTTTTTGAGTCATTGAGGATCCAGGAAGAGGGGAAAAAATGATTGATATAGAAGAAATACTTGAAAAGTAATGGCTGCAAACTTCCCAAATTGGAGGAAAAATACAAGTTTATAGATCCAAGAAGCTCAGCAAGCCAAAACTGGATAAACTCAAAATCATGCCATGACACATCCTAATCAAATTGCTGAGAACTAAAGATAAAGAAGAAATCTTAAAAGCAGAGAAAAACTATATTTTATATAAAACTATGATTCGAATGACCAACAGTCATTATCAGAAATTATAAGAAATGAWACATAAAGTGCTTAGGCAGATATCACAAATGGTATCATTATTTTAATTATAGTTTGTTTACTACATTTTAACACACTACATTCATTTTCAATCTATTCAACTTTCCCATAGTTTTCCACTATGCATGTATTTTTTAATAACTTTATTTTATTTGTTGTTATTATTTTTTTAACGTGGTGCTGGGGATCAAACCCAGTGCCTCACACATGCTAGGCAAGTGCTCTGCCACTGAGCCACAATCCTGCCCCCACTATGCATATTTGATCCCTAGAATTGTATGCAAATACATACATCTTGGATATTATTTCTTTTAATTTATCCCAGATCTTTTACTCTTGTTGAAATGAGTCTTAGCTAATTCACGTATTATATTTAAACAAGTTTTTAAAAGAATCTCTTAAGTTTCTTCAAAGATTACACAGATTAAATGAATCTTTTATTGTCTTATGGAGACACAGTGAAGATCAAATGAAATATACAGAAAAATGTACAGATTTCAGTGCCCAACTAAGACACTGTGAGTCATGTAAATCACAGACAGTAATAGCCTGTAAAGCCTCATTCTTTTGGACAGTCTCCTAAGAAGGCATTTTAGAGAGCTCTCTTGCCCACACCTCTAGGTTGATAAGGTTGGATGAGCGCCAGTGAACCTCCCTGGGTTCTGCCTGCTGAGCCACGGTCAAACCAAGCAGTGGCCATGTGAAACTCAGTCTTTAACAAGGAATCCCTGGCTGTTGTTGGGTGTGCATTTGGCCTGTATTAAATACTGTTTCTAGCAAAGTACAGATTCTAAACTCTGCATCTCTTTGGCACAGGAAACATGCAGTTGTGACATTAAGGTAAAAAAAATTTCAGAGGATGACAAATTTCAACAAACACAACAAGCCAAAATGGATCAGAAAGCCCAGGCATTCTGATAGTGTTTATAAATCCCTAACCCCCCTGTGATGATTCTCAGGTTCCCAGAGGCTGTAAGCAGGAGCATACAAATGATCCAGAAGCTTGCTCTCTCTTTGCCAAAGGCGTATACATGGAACAGCAGTCAGCCTGAAGCTACACTTCGATGCCCCGGGTTGGAGCCGAGTGTGAAGAACAAATGAGATCTAATATGGGTTTTGACCTGATAAATATGGATATCCCCTTGCAAGGAAGGTCAGCCCCCATTGGCAAGTATTAGCTTTAGAATTACCAATTATCCAAGTAGGAGAGGAGTGGGCAACTAAAGCAGTGACAGCTGATTTAAAGAGCCATTCTGTACAGTTCGGTACAGTTCTCTGTACCAAGTGAGTGTACTCAAACACAAATGCTCCACCTTGAGACAAGCAGAGGCTACTGGCAGGATCAACCAGGTCTTTCCTGTGTTTAGTTCCCCATCTCTGAATCAAAGACATCCCTGCATACCTTTATGACTAAAGGTATCATAGAAACACCGAGTAAGACTTGGGAGTCTTTCAGATGGCTAAAGACATTCAGCTTTTCAAAATCCTTGGCCAATACTAAAGGAAAGCCATGCATTTTTGATTCTCTGTTTAACAGAAGGTTGCAGGATAAATCAGAAAGAATGTGGAGCCTTTTAAAAACAGGGTTTCTGCGTATTGCAATAGCATGCATGCATATAAGAAGGAACAGAATTTGAAAACGTCTAGATGGAAAACAAAGGCATGGAGAAAAGTGGGAACTAGCTTAGATCTGCTGATCTGAGCCAAAAATCTGACTCCACCCTGTAAACTCTGTCCTCATTTCTGTAAGAATGTGGTAGCAGAAAGTTTTCCTGCTCTCCCTCTACTTTCTGCCATGGTTTGGAAATGGTTTGAGTGTGTCCTGCTGAAGCTTGGTCCTCAGCAGGGCAATGTGGGGAGGAGGGTCTAGTGGAAGGTTATTAGGTCAATGGGGGTGCCCCCCCTTGGAAGAGATTAAAGAGGCTCTTGCAGGACCTAGGTTGGCTCCTGCATGAGTAAGTCATTATACAAGAGTCAGCTTGGCCCCCAACTGTCTCTGGCTTCCCATCTCATCTTGTGATCTCGCCTTCTTGATTATACTCCCACTATGATGCCATCAATCATGTTAGATGTAGACAGAAGGCCCTCCCCAGGGCTGAGCAGATACTGGTGCCACGTTCTTGAATCTCCAGAAATGTGAATGAAAGAAACAACTTTTCTCTATAAGTACCCAGCCTCAGGTATTCTTATTTATTTATTTATTTATTCACTGTTGATGGACCTTTATTTTAGTCATTTGTTTATATGTGGTGCTGAAAATCAAACTCAGTGCCTCACACATGCTAGGCAAGTGCTCTACCACTAAGCCACAACCCCAGCCCCAGGTATTTTGTTAATAGCAACAAAACATGAACTGAAACACTTGCCCTTCTTCCTTTCCTTTTTCCTATTTGTACACATAAAAATCTTCCAATAATCCCACAAGTGTCCCCAACAGTGCCTCCTCATATGGATTTTATCACTTTTTAAAACTTGTGTAGTGTCATTAGTGTAATAAAGTTATTCTCTCTCCTCTCCAATATACCATCCTAACTATCAAAAAATGACTTGTCCTTGCTATTGTTAGTCTTCATCTTTAAGTAAAATGTGGTTAAATCCAAGAGTATTTTTTTTAAGCTGGGTCTAACTACTCCTTTTATGTGAACATTTTTTTTTCCTTACCCGATTCAAATTTTCTTTTATTTTTTTAGTATCATAAACCCTCCCTTTCCATTCTCTTCCTTGGAAATTACCTATGATAATATTTCAAGCTCTTGCTTCTCTTATGGTACACTCATCATATCTCTGAAACCCTAATCCAAAAAACAAATTAAAGGAAGTATAGCCTCCCAAGAATTGCTCCAAGTTAGCAAACTGAATTACCAAACGTAATATTTATCTTAATATGATTTAGTCACTGATAAAATTTCAACATTAAAAAATTCTGTCAAAAACCACAAGAGAGTAAAATAGCAGAAGGATCCAGATACAAAGTTCAAGGCTTCAGTTAAAATGAGAGAGAGTGAGCCGTTAGATTAAAATGATCAACAGGCTAAGGCACCAGAGTACAAATCCTAGTGCTACTTAGGAACATGGGGTTTCTAAAGACAGAGCTGAGAAGGATTCTTACCTGTCCTCTGTTAGTTTCATTAAGGTTGTTCCTCGAGTAGAGAAGACAATGAAAGACATTCTTAGCTGGGGGCTGGAAAGGGAAAGAAATTCCATTAAGGCAGAGAGAAAAAAACCATAGCACACCCTTCCTTCCCATCAAGGTTTCTGACCAGTTCTTCTCTTTGAATCATGGCTGCCAGAGCTGAGGACCTACAAGCATTTAACCAGCACTCATCTTGAAGCTGTGAACAAACCAAGGAGGTGGTGACCTGCTGTGTATTTCTGGAAGCCACTTCTGATTGGACACTATTGCTCAGTGAATGGATTACAAGAAAGAAAGACAAAGTCCATTACTACCCTGGGCTGTCTGAAGCATGGCCCTGGGAGACTGGTCTGCAAAGTGTGGACAGGTTCAGAAATTCTGGCAGACAAAGTCTGACCGTGTCCCCACAGTAGCCTGGTGGATCCTGTAATGAAGAGACTGTCTCAGATTGTAGCTGTTTTTTTTTTTTTTTTAATTTTTTTATTTTTTTTTTATTTTTTATTGTTGGTCGTTCAAAACATTACATAGTTCTTAATACATCATATTTCACAGTTTGATTCAAGTGGGTTATGAACTTCCAATTTTACCCCGTATACAGATTGCTGTATCAAACAGATGGTGTCATCAAACAGCTACAATCTTCAATCAATGGAAGATTGTAGCTGTTTGATGACACCATCTGTTAACCTCATACCGTGACCTTCCTTTGATCTAAAAGTGACATCATCACCAACTTTTAATTTCTCTTTAGTCTCCCAAGGAGGTTATCTCATAAGGAGAGAATGAATTGACTGGCTGCAGACTCTCTCTTCCACTTGGTATGTCTCATTCTCTCGTTCTTTTTTTTCCTTTTTGGTACTGGGGATTGAACCTAGGGTCACTTCAACACTGAGCTACATCTCCCATCCTTTTTATTTTTAATTTTTCCCACATTTTTAGTTGGTTGCATTATAGCTATACATAGTGACGGGATTTGTTGTTACATATTAATACATGCACACAATACAAAAATAACAACATAATTTGGTCAATATCACCTCCCAGCACTTCCCACCTCCCACCCCTCGGACCCTTTCCTTCACTGATCTCCTTTTGATTTTCATGAGATCTGCCACTATCTTTCTTTCCTTTTTCCTCTTTAGCTTCCACATATGAGAGAAAATATATGACCTTTAATCTTCTGGGTGTGGGTTATTTCACTTAACATAATGGTCTCTAGTTCTATCCATTTTCTTGCAAATGACATAATTTCATTTTTCCTTGTGGCTGAATAAAACTTCACTGTGAAATGCTACATTTTCTTTATCAATTCATCTGTTGATGGACACCTAGCCCAGTCCATTTTATTTTGATTTTTTGGGGGGTTACAGGGATTGAACTCAGGGGCATTCGACCACTGAGCCACATCTCCAGCCATATTTTGTATTTTATTTAGAGACAGGTTTTCACTAAGTTGCTTAAGGCTTCACTGAGTTGCTGAGGCTGGCCTCGAACCTGTGATCCTCCTGCCTCAGTCTCCCATAGGTGTCATTCTTAATGAACAAATCGACATTGTTTTTATATGGCAATGTTCAGGAGCATTGTCAACGTAAAATTCACACTCTGGGAGACAGAAMAACTCTCAGCTGAAGACCAAACATACTTCCCACTCTGCAAGAATTCCAGACTGTAGAGGGTTTGGCAAAGCAATTCCATCCTGTGGACTCCCTCTGGGTGACCAAATAGTTCATCCAGAAGAACATCAAACTATGTCTTCACTAGACAATTGCCTCCCACACCTGATCTGGTGCTAAGAGTTTCCACTTTCCAAAACATTTCTCAAGCCTGTGGTTTTCCCTTTTCTTAGCTTAGGACCTTGGCCTCAATCACCTGACCACTGCAGTTCCTTCATAGCCCATGTCCTTGCTTAGCATCATTCATTGTTCTGATTAATACTTCACACTTCTCTCCCAATTATTTTCCAGATCTTGTCACCTATCTACTATAAAACTCTAATGGTTCCTACTGTTTCCAGGATCGAGTCTACATTATTTCTACATATCTGACACATCGCTAGAAACCCTTAGCAKGGTGTTTAGTTCTTGGTAGGAGCCTAATTAGTACCTGGTGAATTGAATACTGGTCTTTCGAAACTAACTTCAGTTCTCTGCCATGATCCTGTGCTACCTGCTACCACCTCACTATTTGTTGGGCAGCAGGACACCATGTTATAAATGATAATTATAATCATGATGATGGTAGGAATATAATAGGGCCAGTCTCAACAAGTTCTGACTATGTGCCACACACTATCATGATTTGGCTGTATGATCTCATTAAGCTTGGAACAACTTTATGGGATTGGCACTATTATTATTCATCATTTCCATAAAGGAAAACTGAGGCTCTGAAAGATTAAAAACTATTTTCCTCAGGTTCCACAGTGGGTGAATGGTGGAGCTGGGGCTTGGAAGTTCTGATTCTAGAATTTGGGCTCTTAACTACTCTATTATACTGCCTTCGCTACTACTGAGTTTGGCTCTAGAAAGGATGGATTTGATGTCTTGGATACAACTGGTGTATGAGTCTAGGCTGGARACAATTTAACTTTGGGAGTTATTGGGACACTGTTGTGATGTGGGCAAAGTTGTTCAGAGACAATTTCTACAGTGAGAATGGAGATGAGCCAAATATAGGACCAATGCCAACACTGAAGGGCTGATCAGGAGATTTGTTGTCATTGATTTTGGGGGGAACAAGAAGCAAGAAAGGTGAGTATATGTCTGTAGACTGTGAGGGAAGGAGCCATGGAAAAGTAGAGGAAGATATAAGAGTGAAACAAAGACCCCAGGAGACTAGAGATAATGGTATCAATTAGGACCAAAATGGAAAGATTGTCCACAAGGAGTTGCTTGGCTCTCAGGCACTGGTGGGAAAGACGTGCAAGCATTTTCTAAGGAGTGAGATTGGAACTTGAGGTCATCATTCCATTTACTCCTCTCTGGGTCCTTAATGAAGTAGGAGGTAAGGCTCTTTTCTGATAGTGAGGGGTACRAGGTATAGTTTGGGAATTTCCATTTTGAAGAAAGTGGTACAGAATTAGAATCATTATTAAGAAGATGGGGGGGTGGTGAGGATCAAGATAAATAAAAGGACTTGAAATATTAATGATTCCATTGATGTCAGTCATTGTTAATGAATGCATCTTCCCCAAGCAGTATCCATGTCTTAGACTATTCATTAAAATGAATAAACAAAAATCATCCATTCATTCACTTAAGTGAAAATACTGATTGAGCATGTATATGCTACTGGGTCTGCCACAGTCACAGGCGCTTGGGCTCCAGCAGACAACAAAATACCATCCCTGCCTTATGGGGTTTCCATGATGGTAATGCCTTAGTGTGTCAGACTTTGAGGGGGCCATAACSAAGGAGGACAGAGGTGACAGCCAGCCAGAGGAAAGTGTCTCATGGTCTAGATTAAGTCACACCAACTTCTCTGGTCCTTAGTTATTCATTTGTAAAGCAAGGGGGAATGGATTAGTCCCTCCTTCCTTCCCCCTCTTTGGACTTTAAGATAGTGAAGAGTCTGGAACAGCTGCAGGAGAGATGTGTGCCCACTCTAAGCCAGGTGCTGGGTTAGTAAGTTCGCACATAGTTTCTTTTGATAATCTCCACATGGAAATGAGGGGTCAGCTAAGGTAAGTAGACTGCTATGGTTGCACAATGGAGCTTGGATTCAAACCCACATCTGCCTAACTTCAAAGTCTGTCCCACTGGACTTCTCTGCTTCAGAGGGAGCAGAAAATGAGAAAAAAAAATGGAGGCAGAGCACATACTGTCAAATGTCTGGAGGCAGATGTGTTTTAAGACACTCCAAAGGACCAATGGGTGAGAGTGCAGGAAAGGACATTTTGGCTCAATGACAAAAAGACTTTTCTGAAAACTGAAATTGTCCAGCTCCTGGATTGTTTGCTTCAAGAGGCAATGGTTTCTCTCCAGAGCCATTCAAGATGGGGGTTGCTGAAGGCCTCCTAAGACAGATTGGGAAGTTGTTCTTCTTAATTCTAAGTCTCAATGATCCTTTTACATATTTTGCAATACCACTCATATGTTGCTTCTCTCTTTTCCCTGTATTTTTACTCCCATCCCTCCCTTTAGCATTTGTTTTTCCCTAACCATCAGAGTCTGAATGATTCCCTGCTGCAGCTTCCAATTTTTGGCATTGAGGACAGGCCACTTCCTAATCCATTCCTTCTAATTAGGCAGTTAGGTACGTGTTGATCCATAACTGAATTTGGGAGGAGCATGTCTGTCATTACCTAGGCTCAAAGGATACCCTGTATTATGAGATAAAGAATCTTACTCAAAGAACCCTATTGTCTCTCATATCAGGGAGAAGCAATGGAGGCCACATTGCAGGAAGTGGAACCATGTTAAGAATTTACAATGATCAGACCAATTTCACCAAAGACCTCAATGACTTGCTTTGAACACAGCCGCAGAACTGTCACTTGTGTTATCCCTTGGAGGCTGCACCAGAGAGAGTGAAGTGTGACTCATGGGCACCATACTTAATAGAAAGCAGCACCTAGAGGACCCTCCCCTGTCTGGGAGAGTAGTGTTGAGGATGCTCAGAGGATTGTACCTGAGAGGGTACATGGCTGGAGCAAGCAACCATGACAATTTACCCAGGACTAAGGCATGTTCCAGGGAGACTCTTGGTTTGAAAAACAGGAAGCTGTGGGCAAACTGAGATGAGTACTTTACAACTGATACACCCTACATACAAGTCCGATAGAATGCGCCCACTCTTCCTCATGATGCACCATGCATCATGATCCTTTAACAAGAATACATTATTCAACAACAGAGGAAAAAAACATTAAAAAGTTTGGTTTTATAATTAAATCTGGCTCTTCCTGACAACACTRAGCCAAAGTTACTCTAATACATGGCATGGATCAAAACAAATTGTCCCTGGTCCAAGACTTGGTAGTCACGTTTGTCAGAAAGCATCCCCAAAGTGGTTAGGAGTTTGCACAACAGCAGACAGACTGGTTTTACTCATGGCAGAGAACTATAATAGAAATCAAAGCACTGCATTTCTCACCTGATGAATTTATGAGCCAGCTGTTCCACAAAGTAGTAGATCTCATTCCAGTGATGAAGCACGCTTCCTGACCTGGCAAGACAGAACAGGTATTGTTGACTCAGGAATTCATTTGTCTTCGCCTTTTACTATTTCTCTTCATATTCTATCATTTTACATTTGACTTATCCATTAGCAGGGCTCCCTATCTTGGTAACTTTGGAAATTATCCCGAAAGGCGGTTTAGACTCCTGTTAAGAGTTCTTAACATTTTTGTTCAAGAACTCTCCCAACGCCATCTCCACCATCCCCACTGCTACTCCATATACTGATGTGTTTTTCATACATGCACTGAAAAACACACAACCACACAGAAACACTGATTCATAGGTCAGTTCCAAATCTTTGCAAAATGGTCATTTTTGTGCTATTTAAATTATTTCTTTGATGGTAGAAGAGAAGTTATTCCAGTTCTTTTAAGTGAAATCAACACAAAGATAAACAAAGATACACAAACTCCCAAGAGTCCAACTTCATTTGTAAATATAGATGTGAAATCCTTAAATAAAATATTAGCAAGGAATAAAAAAAATCATTAATTAACTCGTAGAGTTCAGGAAGGTACGGACAGTCAAAMGTTTAAGGAAATCTAATGTGATTCATCATATTGTAAAGAAAAAAAAAACCTATTCTGCTTTTTATTGTATTAAAAAGGAATTCTCTTGCTGAAAAGAGGGAATTTGTTTTTCCAGAACATTTGGAATCACAGGATTTTAGATCTGGAAAGGATCTTCTTTATTTCCTAAATCTGATTACTGTTTCACTATTAACATGACCTACCACTTCAATTTAGTTTCTATGTGTTTTCTTTCTTTTTTTKGGGGGGGGTGACGGTTGGGGACACGAGGCGGTACTGGAGATTGAACTCGGGTACTCAACCGYGGAGCCACATCCCCAGCCCTATTTTGCATTTTATTTACAGACAGGGTCTCACAGAGTTGCTTAATGCCTTGCTTTTGTTGAGGCTGGCTTTGAAGTCACATCCTCCTGTTTCAGCCTCCCCAGCCACTGGGGTTACAGGTGTGCACCACCCTGTCCTGCTCCTGTGTGTTTTTTTGCAGGGCTTGTATTCAGTCTGCTACAGTGAGTTCATATTAGCTTTTTGTCTTCAAACCCACTCCTTCCTGTTGCTGAGATGCTTCCTCCTTTCACCTACTGGTCTGTGTCAGCTGAGCCCCAAATCTCTGCCTGCTACCTAATAATTGCTGAATTCAGACTTTACTTCTATTACTGTACTTCAAATATTTCCCATTAGGGTTTTGATTACATTTTTGCAATACTAATTTCTTCAGAGTTACTTGTTGCTGTGTTTTCCTTGTCTCAAACTATTTTATAGACATTTAAGAGGAATATGGGCAAAGTAGATTTTACGTCCTTCTTCCYAGGATTCAGTATTCCTAAGAATTCTTATTTTGATTGGCTCTGGATCTCTATGAAGAGTATGATTTTTCTCTGTCTCATATCCACAAATGAGAGATTTTTTTTTTCCTATCTGAAAAAAGTGACACAGTATGTTATGGTCATATAATTAAAGACTCCATATGCTAAGGATGCCTCACTTTCCCCAAGTTAACCTATAATTTCAATTCTAGAGAAAATAATGAAAGAATTATTTTGTGAAACTTTAAAAAACTGATTTTAAAATGAAATGAAGATCAAAGGTCTAAAACTATTCAAGATGATTCTAAAAAAGAAGAACAAGGGGAAAGGGCTTTCCCTATCAAATATAACGACCCCTGTATACCTGGCATAGAACATTCCAGAGAGTGAATACAACAGCATAGGAAGCCTGCTGGAGTTCAGATCTGGGATTCCCCCAAAGGTCCAAGTGTTGAAGACTGGCCCTCAACTTGGTGCTACTGGGAGGGGGGTAGAAACTTTAAGAGTTGGGGTCTAGTGGGAGGTATTAGGTTGCCAGGGACATGCCCTAGAAGAGGACTGTTAGACTCCAGCCTCTTCCTCCTCTCTCTTTGCTTCCTGGCCACCTGAGGTGAACAGCTTCCTCCACCCCTTACTCCTGCCATGATATGCTGCCACTGGTCCAAAAGGAAGTAGTCCTGACAATGCGCTAAGATCTCCAACACTGAACCAAAATAAACCTTTTCTTTTTATAAGCTGATTTTCTCAGGTATTTGTTACAGGAACAGAAAGCTGACTGACAGAGCCCAAATCTCAACCTATGTGAGATCTGGCTACAGAGGAAGAGAGACAATTCAGATTTAGGAGGGAGAATAAATCCTCTGGCACAAGATCTCGTGACAAACAATTTTCTTTAAAATTAAAAAAAAAAAAAAGTTAAATTGCTATTTCTTACCAAATGTAACCCTAGATATATTTTAAATCTAATGGAAAAAACACAATTTTTTTTTTAAATCTGTGAGAATTATTGATGATTCTTATGCCCTCAGATCAGTGCAGGTGTTCTCAAAGTAGGTATGGAAATTAAAAATCATTTCCTAAAAAAAGCATCATGGAGTTTACTCGAAACACCACATTTCTGAATGATAAAAAGATATCATAAACATGTTAAAAGACAAGAAAATAATGAAAGATGTTTGCAATGATTATGTAAAACAAAAGATGGGAAATCAACATTTGAAAAATATTCAACTCCCCTAGTAAACATAGAAATKCATAAACAATTGTGAAATACGCTTTACACCATTCAGATTTGGAAAATGTCTGACAATATTTGTGTTGGTGAGAAAATGGAGTCCTCTTATATCGCTGATAGACATGGGAATTGATGGAACTCCTTTGGAGAGCCATTTGGGAATGCATAGTGTGATTCAAAGCAAGCATTTCCTAAGACCAGGGTTATCATTTGTGGAAACAAGGAACGTGCAGAAGGATCTTATGTAATAAGGATGGTGACTGCTACATTGTTTGCCACAGAAAAGTGTTATAAATAACCCCAACTTTAGGAGGTAAGAATGCTGGGAATTGGACTCAGGATGTCACACATGCTAGGAAAGTGCTCTTCTGCTGAGCTTCATCCCCAGCCCTTTAAAAAAAATTATCTTGAAACAGGCTCTTGCCAAATTGCCCAGGCTGGCCATGAACTTGTGATCCTCCTGGCTCAGCCACCTGAGTAGCTGGGATTATAGGCATTACAAATGACCTCAATATCCATCAACATGTAATCTGTGAATACACACACACACACACACACACACACACTGCATATTTCTTTTAAAAAAAACCCCACTAAAACAAATGTGAAAATCTGTTAATAGTTACTTATTTTATATAGAGAACTCATGAATATTTATTAAATTTTTATTATTTTTTTAAGAACATAGATTGGCCATGCATAGTGATGCACACCTGTAATCCCAGCAGCTCAGGAAGCTGAGGCAGGGGGATTGCAAGTTCAAGACCAGCCTCAGTAACTTAGTGAGGCCCTAAGCAACTCAGTGAGACCTGTCTCTAATAAATATAAAAAAGGACTGGGGATGTGGCACAGTAGTTAAGCACCCCTGGGTTCAATCTCCAGTACCAAAAAAAAAAAAAAAAAAGAATATACATTGTTCTAGAATTTTATAAAATACTCTGTAGACAATCAAAATCCTGGGGTCCTTCCATATAAAGATAAGAGATATTCATTAAAATTCTATTTTTATGAACTGATTTTAAACCCTACTTCGTCTAATTTGAGATAGTATTTGGTATAACCAGCAGCAACAGGGGAATTATACTGAGGATTTCATATTTCTCAAGTTGCAAACATAATTTATTGCCTAGCACTATTATTGAGCTGCCCAACAGGCACAGATGCATAAGAAATAGTGCTTTCTCTCTAAGAACTCAATGTGGAATGGGGGATACAGGTAAATTAAAATGTCACATGTCATGACAAGTATTATTGAGGTCTGTGCTTTTGAAACAAAGAAAAGGGAATGGCTTGCTGTGTCTGTGCAGGCTCTGAGGAGGGGACCGTCTTTGACCTGGATCTGGAAGGATGGCTAGAGTTGGGGAAGACAAGGGAGAAAGAGCACCCTCGTGAAACACTGAAGTAGGCCAGGCCAGGCTGTGCTGGGGAGGATGGAGCAGATTCATGTGGCAGCACCATAGAGCCCATGGAGGATGGGGTGAGGCGTTGGGGAGAAGGGGCAGGGGTCAGGATGAGCAAGAGGTACAGCAATCTCTTTTGTTGGTTCCCTTCTTGCAGCCTTTGTACCGTCTGTTTGGGACAATCTTATCCCCACTGGCAAACTCCTACTCATTGTCTAGGACTCAGCTCGGTGCCACCTGTTGCTTTTGACCAACAGAGAGGGACTCATTGAGCCTGCCTCGGGTTCCTGGGGCACCATGTGCTGTCACAACTGTCTGATAGTCAATTGTGATCAGATTTTTCCTCAAGCTCCCAAATCTCATGGATGCCTCTATTCTCATGGAAGCCTCCTGGTCCTCTGCCAACCTGTTGGCCAGCAAGTGAAATCACCTTGGCTTGAATAAGCAACCTGGGTTTGGGATTCAGATGGCTYCACACAATTCCTGTGACTCTATATGAAACTAAGGAGCCTTCCCATTGCTCCATGGTGACTGGGTCTGCCTGACCATCAACAGTGGCTTCAATAAACAATGGCTGCTGGGAGTCTCCCAAGAGCTCACCAGAAAAGCACATCTTTGCCTTGGGCTTTTAAAGCATTGGAAACCGTTTCATCGGGACCTCAGCCATCCTCTTGAACAGGATTCCCTTGCATGCTTTGAATCTCTAAGACTGGGTCTTGGAGGCTCTTCTTTAGCCATGGGTAGATGCTCTGGTCCTGGGGATGTTAGGTGAGGGTCTAGCAGGTGAGTGGCCCCACCATGTCCAGGTGCCTTAGAAGAGGCTGCACATGACCGTCCAGTAGTCATAGTCAAATCCAGAATCTACATCTCCTTTGCATAGGGCTTAAGAGATTTCCTTGAACATGATCCATACTTACTTCTGAAATGCAGTGCTTTTTTTTTGGTCTATATTAACAGAATTTGAAATTTGAGGAGAAGGGTAAGATGTCTAAGGATAAATGGGGAACCCCCATACCTTC